AGATAGATAGATAGATAGATAGATAGATAGATAGATAGATAGATAGATAGATAGATAGATAGATAGATAGATAGATAGATAGATAGAAAATGTTTGTATATCTGAAGCATGTAACAAAAGTAATTTCCCTCTGGGATTATTAAAGTGTGTCTGATTCTGATTTTCAGGGGGGCTTAAGACCAATGGCGTAACGACACAACAATAGGCCTGTAAGCAACATAATCCGGATGGGCCCCATATGAAGTACAACACCCCAATGGTTTCAATCTACCGTCTGGGTTACCCATAATTCCAAGCCGTATTGTAAAAAAAAAATAATTTAATTTAAAAAATACTCAAATACATCGGTTATTAAAGTTATAAACAAAGTAATTAAAAGTACCACTGTCTGCTTTGCCATTGGTGTGTTAAACGGCTAACCATCATGTTGAAATCTGCGGTGTGTTTGGGGTATAAATAAGATCCGGTCAGTCAACCTTGAGTCAGGTGTGTTTAAGAGGAATTTTTCGCACCATTACATCTGCAAAGAGACGTCCTAATCCACAGTTGCGTATGGGGCCAATCAGGTGTCAGTGACTGTGCCCCTATAAGCAACTGCAGTTACCAATAGTTACGCCATTGCTTTAGACTCCGTGTGAGTAGGGAGTACCAAGATGGCAGGAGGTGACTTCAGTTATTTCGGTCTATCGGATATCCATGAATACATAGAATAAATAGCACACGTTGCTTTGAGACCGGAAAAACACTAACTGTGTCTATCATAAAAACTTACTTATGAAAGGTGATTCCACGGGCTTTGGTTTGCATTCTCCTCTTATTTGCGCAGCCGTATGCGGAACAAAAGTCGGGCATCCTGAGAGGCAGTTCCGGGGAAGATTTCTGTCAATACAAATCGAAATTATGTACTAAGTTAGAAACCAATTTATATCAATTAACTGGTCTCATCAAATCACGTTTTCAGGCAGCCAATTTATAAGGACATCGGCTGAGGATTCACCAGATTCTGAGTGTAAAAATAAATCCGATAGCTTGGTCTGACTCAAGATGGCCGCTCTGTCGGCACGCCTCTTTATAATTCTTCGTCTTCTTCAACATTTTTGGCGGTAGGCAACAACAAACAGATACCTTTCCGCCATCTACTGGTATGGAGTGTGAAATTAAATTCTACGATGTTATATAATTATGTTAACCTTAAATAGCGAAATAATATCCTGTAAATGTTACTTTCTGAATCACACCTAAATGATTCAAATAAATCGACTTGAACTTTTACTTTATTTAAATGTAGAATTAATTTATTCAAAAAACAAAGTGTTCAAAAAATGATAAACTGACTTCAATTCAAGAATTAACATAAAGAACTCAAGCACAAACTGACCTATGAAACAAGGACCTAAGAAACAAGGCATGAGGGAAACCTAAATAGTGGCTGATCAGACCACTGTTGACCCCCTGCTTTTCGATCTGGCCAAACAAACTAACAAACAAATAAACTTAATTAAACAGATAAATA